AAATAACAAAGAAGTAAAAATCGATTGTTCAAATTTCTAGAAATAGACTGCTCCTTTAATATTTCGTAAAAAAAAAAAAAGGAAAAAACGAACCAAACGAATTCATATATTATTTCCAATCCAATTATATTCGCAATTCTCTGTCTGAAAAGAAGTCCACGATTCACTATCAAACTGAGACCTCGAGAGACTCCGACAGCTGACGAAACTCAACGTTTCCGGTCACAATAGCACTTCTCGAAGTGCTCGATGCCTCGAGAGGTTATCATTCAGCCGTTGTAAAGTGAGCCCTCGAGAGCTCGTTCGCCGCTAATTATAATCTCGAATGATGAATTGTGCGCGAAAGTTAACGAAATAACGAGAGCCCTCCGTCGGCGAAGAAGACGCGGCGGCTTGCGCGGGCCGACGCGCGCAGCCGAGACGCGAGAGAAAAGCGGGAATGGATTTCCAACCCTTTGTTGCGCGACGTGGGCAAACTCTCGAGAGCGCGGCCGGCATAATAAACCGCTTTGCCGGTCGATGGTCGGCTACCGAGGCGTCCGTTTAGCGGAGGCGGGCCACGAGCTTGAAAAACGGTCGTTTAACGAGCTCGCTACGTCGACGGCGCAACGTCTGTCGTTCGAGAGAGGAGTTTCCGAGAATTCCTCAGACCTTTCCGGCATTCCAGCCGGGCGAGAAAGCGGGAAAGATAAACGACGGCGTTTTGTCATTTGAACGCGGCGCGCCGGCTCTTCTCTCGCTCGGCCCCCCTTCGTACCTCCTCGCGACACGACTGGCGGTCCGGAGGACGTCAAAGGAACGTCCTAATCTGTCAGACGTCCCTCCGGACGTCTTTCGGATAGCGGATACCGGATAGCAGTTTTTCCGTTTGTTTGACTATCGTCGTGCTTTAGCCCCGAGGGCTCGCGGAAATCTTCGCTACGTCACCGCGCTATTTGTCAGGTTTGCGATCGTTCCTCCGGCCCCCTCCCCTCTTTCCCGACGCATCGCGACAAATCGCTCCTCGAGATACTCGCGAGCGGCGTGACGTCACGTAACTCTTCGTATCGTCGGGAACCTCGCGAGGGGACGGTGGGTAAATTGTCGGTCAGGATCGGAGGCCGAGAGACGGGGGTAAGTCGTGGGTAATGAAAATTAATGCTCGTTTCTCTGGCGATAACGCATGGATTCTCCCGGATGGATTCTCACGATTGCTTGCTGTATCAAATAACAAAAGAAATTTACTGAGGTTTACAATTGAAAGAAAACACGTGTAGGCCTCGCAGGCCCAGCATGTTAACCGTCAGGGTTGAGAAGGATTCATCGCTGCTTTATCTTCGTCGATCACAGGACTCTTTTGCGGGAGCGAGATCATTGGCTCTCCACGGAGAATTAATACGCACGCGGTCGTCGACAGAGTACAATCCCCGCTGAAGATCAATCGGTAGCGTCGTCGCGGCTTTCATTAATTTGCGACCACGGCAATTATTGGACGGTAGAACTGCTCTGCGAGATATTAGCTCCGCACAAAGTAGCCCTTTCGTGTCCCCTTTGTCCCGAAAAATCAGTGCGTTTCATCCTCAAGGACAGCAAGTAATGAGCTAAGAGCGGTGCCCCGCGACGGTGAGCGTTCCCTACCTTGATCACCGTCTGGATCTACGCAATTTTAGAGAAAATAGAGACGGTGGAAAAAGGAAGGGAAAGAGAGAGCGAGAGCCACGGGATAAAAAGGAAACAGTAGGTAATGTAGCATTCGAGACACGACGAAAAATCAGTCGTGGAGTCGTCTACCCCCTATTTATTTTAATCTCCCAAAGACGAGATCAACGTAGAATATTCGAATGGAAAGTGGATAGGAAACATCGTCGCTGCAAAGAGATTCCGCGATTTAAAATACACGGTAAGCGTATTCAAAGACGAAGGAAGGTGCTTTTCCCAATTTTCCCGGTCCCGCGATTTTCCTGGGAGCTCAATGATCCCGTCGCAATGGAAGAGCGAGATCATCGGTCTGATTGGGCGTCGACGACCCTCCTTCCCCTCTTCCTTCGCCCGGTAACGAGGATCGCCGTCGTGTTTCCACAGTAATTAGAAATCATGATTACGGCTCGGCCGAAGACCGCATTGCGTCAGCGCGCCGGGAGCGCCGCCCCTCTTCGCGCCCTCGCCGACGTCGCGCCTAATTAAATGCTCGGTTATCGGTTGCCGTACGTAAGCATCGGGGCCAGCCACCTCCACGATATAGCCGGTGACCCGGAAGAGTGCGATGCATCTCGAACGTCATCGACGACGACGGAGCCGGTTAGTTCGCCGAACGAAAAGGATAATTAACGCGCGCCAATAATGACGACGATGACGGCGGACCTTCGACCTGGTCGTAGATCTCGGCCACGCCGAAAGGTGACACGACGCGATAAGTCACATCACACCGGCAGGTGTGATAATAGCAACCGATGCGCGTCTCTTTATCAGGCTTGGACATTTTCCTCCCTTCTCATCGCTCTCCGGCGCTCGATGGCTCCACTTTAGATACGGTTGCTGATAGACGCGCACATACGTTTTAACCCCCCGCGTGATTCATGGTCATTTGGGGAACGGTAAAAATTTGAATCGACCGGAAAATTTGACTGAATTAGGGGTGAGACCGGAAATTTCCATTTAAGGAAACAGGGGCGGTAAGGAGAGCCCATACTCGTACGCGTAGTAGTTTTCGTCAATTTACTGAGGCGTAAAAAGGTCAACAGTCGACGTTGCCGAATAGCCACTCCGGCGTAAATAACTTAAGACGATAAATAAGTCTGTGATGCTGAAGAGAGAAAGAGAGGAGGGAGCTTGTCACCATTCGTCATAAAGATTTAAAAGTCTATTAAATATCCTCCTAAGAGCGCACCACTCTCGCCCGTTATGAAAGGAGATCGCGCAATTCAGCATAAAAATTTACAGGACGATTTGGAGCGACCTTTTCCCTGCTGTAAAAAATTCACAGTTACGATCGACGAGCCTCCTCGACTCGACGTCAGTTCTCTCGTTCCCGTGTTTACAGAGGCAGGCTGGCCCTTGGATTTTCCCTCCCCAGAGTAGCCGTCGGACGGTGGTACCTATCTTTTCTCTTTTTCTTCCCTCTCTTTCATTTAACGCGCTTGACGCTGAAGAATCTATCGGCGGCGGGGTTAGTAAGTAAGGACGATTAATGCGCCATGCCGGATAATCGATTTTCCGCGGTAATTCGCGCGCCGAACATCCTGTACACACCGCCCCGGATAAAATGGGATCCGCCCACGTAACGAAGTTTGCTGAACCATCGAGCACCCCCTTCCTCCCCCTCTCTCTCTCTCTCTCTCTTTACCCGTCGTGTCCGGTTGGTCCACGGTGTATCGCCCGGCGATCATGCGACGAGACATCGATAAACTGATCCAGAAATCGGCGGCCGCGTAGAAAGCCTCGGCGCCGCATCGGACGGCAGCGCATTATCCGGACGCTTGTTTTAACCCGCGGTTGTTTGCGAACATCGCGAGCAGCGCGCATCTCCAAAGACAACATCCGCGACGCTCCATATCCCGTCGAGATCAGATTCGCGTTAAATGCAACGAGATGTAAGGTAGCATTTACGCTGGCGCAAAAAGCGACGCTTAGGAATTCCGAGTAAACAAGCAGAGTTCGCAGGGATACGAAAAATTCCGGGATACGTAAGATATCCCGAAGAATTTATGCAAAAGTCGGAAAAGTCTCTTCTCTACGCGGAACAGGGGAAACACTCGTGCAGCGAAAACGCGTTTTGCGACGAAAGTTGAAGGAAAGACGACGGTCCGAGAGCCCCCAGGGGGGTTTTCGCCCCCTCTTTCCCCACGGGGCACCGTTCTGTATGCGCTGTTTTAATTTAGAACGACGAACGATTGTTTCGTTACGAGCGCGCTCTCGCGGGTCAAAATATGGCCTACTTTTTTTTAATTAAACTGAGCGATTTAACAGGCATTGTCGGGAGATAGTTTGCGCCACCGTGTAAAATTATCGGGGCATTTATCGGTTATCGTTTGCTAAAGTGGGCCGCATGTACATAGCAGCGACAATGCGATAAGGGAGAGCGGGCGACACGTGGTGCTTAGTCGCTAACGATAGCAATGATTTATGTCCATCTAAGCGGAGAAGAAACCGATGTAGATTCGAATCACGTACTGAAGAAAAGAGAGAGAGAGAGAGAGGGAGAGCTCGTGCAAAGAACGAAATTATTATACGAGTATGTTCAAAACACGAATTGTGTTTTCATTAAAACCGTTTCGAGTATTAACGAATAATGCGATTATCAACGATTCAATTATCAATTTAAAAGTATTAAAACCGATATACTCATTTTTTTATTCTCTAAAGCCCGAAGGCGTAAAATTAAAATTGACGCGCTGGATGCAATCACCCACACGTCTCTACTAAAAAATATATATAATAATCTTATGGAAATTATTATATACTTCTTTAGGGATAATTATTTTTTACAAGAAATTACTAGGAAACCTATAGAAGTACGGAAAACAAAAGTACTCAGGCCCAAATTTTTAACACGTATACGATCAATTAAAAAAAAATTATATAATAATACCTTTGTTTTGCGCACCTCACGTCCTGTGTCAGCTCTTATTGGCTCACACAAAGTGAGCGCACTTCGGAGGATCTTATTAGACTTTTAAATTTCCAGGATATTCTTGATAGCACAATTTCATTAAGAGATCTGTACGCTCTCGCTCTCATTTTTCTTCCTCAAATTATGCACCTCATTCACTCTAGACTGTTAACGAATACAAATGATATTTTCTGAAGCGCGATGTGAAAGATACCGTACACTCGACCCGCGGACCGCGCGGAACTCGTGCCACCCTCGCGAGGGTAAATTGCGCCTGTCACGGGACGATTATTCCGATGACCTCTTTTCCCGCGGTTACGCGCGTTGTTTACAAAAAAGAAAGAGAAAGAGGATGAGGGGGGATGGAGAGCCGCGGCAATCTCTATAGAATCAAACGTTACGTTTGTTCCAGAGGTGACGATGTGCAACGATCGATCGAGCTGCTGGACAAGGTGCTCTCAGAGTACGACGAGCACGACGCGGAGGGCGAAGGTGGCGGCAGCGGCAGCGGCGGTGGCGGCTGCGTCGGCGGCGGGGGTAGCGGGGGCGTCGGGGATTGCGGCAGCAGCACGGAACCGAGTATTGGCCTCACGCCCGACGACGAGAGTCCGTCCTTAGGTACCCTTTTTCTCGTTTATCGCTTTACCTTCCCCCCCCCCCTCGTTTCTTATTTCCTCGCGGGAGAAGCGCGAGCGACGATTCGCGCGCAACATTCGCTTCCCTCGCTCGTGTTTGCCGAGCACGATTAACCGACCTTCGTGTCCGAAGGGGTCCCTCTTTAATGCTTTGTTATTTATTCTTTTCGTTTGAGGTTCCATTGATAAAAGGTCGAGGAAGGACGACGATAACGTCCGTTTTTCGTTATAAGCGTATGATCTGCCCGAAATTCCAAGGAGAGGAGTTGAATTTTTTGGGGGAAATTCTTGAAAATTTTTCTCTCCTTCTAGAAAATTAGAAACTTTTCGAGAAGGAGTTTCAGAGTCCCTCTTTTGTGAGAATTCTCCGGTAATTAAATTCTCTGACTTAAATTCCTTCACACGACTCTCTCACAATTAGAATTCGAAACATTATCGGGGCTATCGCGGCGGTCACTACCAGCGGCCGACGGGCTCAGCTAGCGTCCTTATTTGTGTTATCGGACGTTGTGAGAGGCGACGCGCCTCAGGATCTTGGAATTCAAGGCCCGTCCAGCCCCTGGAATCCTCGATCCCCTGGGTGCTTAGCACGTCGAGCCCCAGGTAGACTCTTACACGCTCGGGGTTCTAAATCCTAATCCCAATTGTAACGGAGAACGGGTTGTAAGCCGTAAGCGTAACCCTAATATAGATTCATTACCCTGTTCTGGGATAAGTCCGTCGGGATACCAGAAATTATAGAAAAGGGACGTTACCGAAAGAGTATAACGTGACAACGGATGCGGACGTTTCGAACGAGTGTCACGAAAGTTAAACGCGCGAATCTACACGGCGAAAACGTAAATTCGCCACGTAACTTTATGTCAAGAAAAGGCTTTGTCAAACACAGGGTTTCCCATTTCAGAGGTTTCGTCTTAAGTTTCACATCATTTTTAATCTATTAAAGATAGAACTGTCATTTCTTAATAGCTACCAGGTGTATGCATAAGTTTTTTCCGGTTTAACTAAGAGATGGCGCCAGCGGAAAGTACGCAGCGTATTAATTTGACACATACGTCATTTTGTTCGTCTGACATTTAAAACTACAAACACACACAAGTTGAGTCCACCAAAAACTAGCGTCTTTGTTTTATCGTTCAGTGATCATGTCGAGTTTTGTGCCTGAAAAAAGACATTTGCGTCACGCATTGCTTTTCTTATTTAATCAAAAGAAAAAGGCTGTTGAAAGTCATCGTTTGCTGGTAGAAACATATGGTGAACACGCTCCATCGATTAGAACATGTGAGACATGGTTTCGACAATTTAAAAATGGTGATTTCAATGTGAAAGACAGTGAGCGCTC